GTTTGCTCTTGAAATAAACTTCTAATATTTGAAAATTTCTATGGAATAAATTGACTCTCCAATAACTAGGCCTACATCCCAATGGCTATATAGAACAGTAAATACATGTAGGCCTAGATGCAATCTGATGTCGTCCAATTTTCTGCATATGGATCAAAATAGGAGCTGTGTGACAGTCTGGGGTCAGCTTGGGTGTTTTGGTCAACATTATTTTCAAAAATCATCTTTCGAACTCGGATAATATTTCATTAAGCTCTGAACGTCGAGGATGGTAAACGGGCATAGGCTACATTGAACTGTTGCGGTTTGTGCAGGCAAACCATTCACAACCCTAATATTATATTTTGGTCAAGGAATGCAGGCAGTGGTAGTAAGCCGTCAGCTGAACCCCTATATTCTTTAGTTTTGTTCCAGCAACTGTGGGAATAGATTTTCTGAACAGAACCGAGTACATAAATTACCAGAGATGACAAATGCAAACGTTCTCCACAAGCTATCCTGCAGTTTTTTTATAATCCGGGTGGAAAGGGTGAACTATTTTGTGGTTGGGGAAGCTCCATATGCGAAATGTGCCACGTTTAAAAATCGTTCGCGAATGATGTAACCTGATCACGTGCTACAAATTGTCCAATCCGAGACCCGAACGAAGGTCGTAAGTTGTTGGTCATGACCATTGATCGCCATTATATAGACTGGATAGGACATTTGCGCATTGTTTGTGCACAAAATGCGCGGCCGAACAATGGCGGCGTTTCAGGAGGGTAATGTGATGCTGTATGCTGCGCATTTCTGGTCAATATAACCTTTTTCTCATGGGATGATGGCTAAGCCCTCGGCATCCGTCCCCAAAACAAGCTAAAAATAAACAAAAAATGCAAAAATATCATTTCCGAAAATAACTGACCATTTTCTTATTAACTAACCCACTCATAAGCGATAATGTTAACCTTTTTTGTGTGTTTGTTTTTAATTAATTTTTTTTACTGTCTACGGTCTCGCTTTAGCAATATTTTTTTACTTTGGGTCGGCTCAATCGTGATTTGTTCAGTGTGTAAAACTTTGAGAATTGCACCAGGACATGCAATAGGTTTTGTCAGTAAATATGATGTCCAGACTGTCCATGTGTTTTTCCGTCTGGTTTCGATGAGCCAACATTGAAAAAAATCACTAATAAAACGATTTTAATTTTACACTCTCAGGAAAAATTGTACTAAATAAAATTCAATCACAGATTGAAAACTGACATGTGGTATACGGAAGTGTAAGCATCTTTTCTGTGAGCATAAAGTAAGCGCAGCTTTAAATGAGCGACCAAACTAACTTACTGCCGTTTTTAAAACAAACACTTATTAATCAGCTTGAAAAGTTGAGTTCACAACCTGACTTAAAGATTTACATTTAACAACTACTTTCGGCATGAAAAAGTCAGTTTTTAACTGAGAACGAATAATTTTGTGATGCAGACAAAGTTTCTTTCGTTGTGTTGACTTAAAATCCCCTTGTTTGTAACTTCATTCACCAGAAACGTCTGCACTCTGCTTCTCACTTTGGTTTCATCTCTGCACCGAAGAATTCTGTCACTCATATCACATCGTTCGTCACACAATTTGGGTTCAGTGCGTCTTTAGATCCGACAAACACAAATCCTGACTGTCTTGGAGATTTTTCGAGTGAAATCGGGGGGGGGGAGTAAACGACACATTTATTCATTACGTTTTTGAAACCACTCAAATAATGCCAATAAGTAACATTTCAGACGGTCCCAACTTCGAGATAGTAAAGTTTCATATACAAAGCCTGTTAGGCTAGATAGATTGTCATAAATTTCTTACTAGGCCTATATAGGCTTAAAGTTAAGTATGTCATACATTCCACTGCTGTGGTGCTGCAGCTAAAAATGACCGACTGCCCAAAGTTGCCAAATGTTTGCTCTCAGATATTCCAACAACAGTTGATTGGATGATCTTAAAATTATACCGAGACGGTGTCCTAAGAATAACGAGATCAGTCAAATAACCCGGTGCAAGACAGTAAATGCATTTAAAAACAGTCAGTAATATTTTAAACTGAATTCGAAATTCAACTGGCAACCAATGTAATTCCTTTAAATACAGCCCTCTCAACCAATTTAGAGAAAAACATCAAATTACTAATCGGACGAGCGTTTTCTGGAATAAATTCAAGATTAACTTTCTTAAGAATCGGGGTGACAATTGCATTCTTCCACGTATCAATAAAAACACCAGTTTCTAAAGACATATTTATAATGTCAGTAATAACTGGAAGCAGCACCTCAGCACATTTAGCAACTACAATTGTGGGAGCTGGATCATGAAATAAAGTTTTCAATGCAGAGTTTTGAATCATTTTTTTAACGTGAAATTCAATTAAAAGTGAAAACACACTCCATTGACTAAACCGGAACATTCATAATACGGGACAAAAATTGGAGCGTTCTATTTGAAAGCTGCTAGTCATTTAAAGTTTTTTGAATGCTACTAATTTTCTTCACAAAAATTTGAAAGTACTCGCAACGAAATTCGCAACGCTCGTTATTTACCCTCCTGAAAATACGCATACGCGGGACGCGTTTTGGACCTGATGTCCTGTCCAGTCTGTAGGGTGCGTTCGATTAGCTTGCAGGGGAAAACCTGACCTG